ACATTGCTGGGGTTATTCTATCTATGCAAATAGGAGAAGGTTGAATTTTAATTCTATATGCCTTAATTTTTTGGGGGGTAAAATCCTCCTACTCAAGAATCTGTGCCAGTCAAAATATTCACACATTGCATAACTTGCTATTGTGATTTACTGCTTTGTAATTTATTGCTAAAAATTACAACTAAACTTACATGCCTGCTTTGGATTAACTATTTCTCTCTCTAGAGGCTTGGAGGGTTACCCTCCAACAAAAAAACTGAGGCCATCACTTAACATCTAGAACAAAACTGTTTTTCTGAAGGATAAAAGTATAGCTGCACATGAATGCCCAATCCCCTATGAAGCCATTATTTATACATAACAAACAAAACACAGAGACTGAGAAAAGGTAGTTGACAAAACTAGACTTCTAGTAATGTGAATTTGAGGTACACTAGAGGGAGAGGTATTGTTATAAAGCCTGCACTGACGTTTTAAGGCACTATGATATTGGTGGAAACATTTCAACTTATCCTACGGCTTCAAGTATTTGACACTAGTTAGATGACTGCTAGATGGCAGAAGAATCTGATTAGCCTGTCTGCCTTGAACTGAATTGTCTTCCCATGCTGGACAAGATCAAAATAAGGACACAGTAACTAAATAAAATTAAAAATAAAGATTAAATTTAAAATAACAATTTTTTAATCTTTTGGTGTTTTGTTGAATGAGACCTAGAAAGTCCAGTTTATGTATATGATTTTTCAGTGTGAAAATACCATATTCTTGCTTGTACATTCCTTCATTAAGGAGTAAAACCTGAATCTGTTGGTGACAAATTTGACTTTTGACTCTGCAGAGCCTGATCTGGGTGATAGATGCTTATGATGTTAACAGAATAAGCTTCATTCCTTTCCTAAACAAAACTGCAGTCTACCTTTGCCCCATTAGTCTCATTGGATGAAGCACTGGTTTGCTGTGGCTTTTGTTTCTGTGGGGAGATTGTGTGTTTGTTTGTTTTTACAGCTTCCATCTTGCAGCTAACTTTTGGCAAAGTATCACATTAAAGCAGGAAGTAATAATTTCAGAATTCTTAATTATTCAGAGTAATTACTTTTGGTATGTCTCAATCGACTGCAGTAAGCAGTCAGATGAAAATGAGCTTTTAAGGCTGAATATTTCAGGACAAATCTCTTTTTCCTCTTCCTCTCCCTTCTTTTCTGCAGTACTATTTTGGCAATCACAATCTACCAAGAGACAAGTTCCTAAAAGAACAGATCAAACTAGATGATGGCTGGGTACCTTTAGAAGTAATGATCAAATTCAACAGGTAAAACAAAGTACAATTAATGTGGATAGAAAAGTAACTTTTAGCTACTTATCTCTGTTTGTAGCCAAGTGTTCCTGGTGTTGTTTTAACACTGTTTTAACACTGTTTTAACATCTGGCTTCAGCTTTGCCTGTGTATTTGTAATAACCTGTGTTTGCTTACTCAATAGGTTAAGTCGCCTTTCAAAAGATTTTAGTGTTATTGTAGAAGCACTAAGAAAATCCAAGACTGGTTTAATGGAAATAAATGAAGACAAAACTAAAATCAGAAGATCTCCAAATAAACCCCTTCCTGAATTAAATGACCAGTATAAGGCTGCAATTAAAAACAGATCTGTATATGTTGTAAGTAAATTTCTTCCTTTACTCTGTGCTGTTCTGCATGACTTTGACTGAAAGCCATCTGAGTAAAGCTTGAATTAACTCATACCAAATAGGTTGTAATTTCTGAGTCAGTTTGTGGAATATAATTGAAGCTCATTGCTATCTTGCAGAAAGGCTTTCCACTAGATGCTACTCTTGATGATATCAAAGAATGGCTTGAAGATAAAGGTCCAGTTGAAAACATTCAGATGAGGAGAACATTGCAGAGAACATTTAAGGTAACTCTTGCAATGAACATTTAGACCTGGGGCAGGGATCCTCCCTGGACAGCATTCTGTTCAATTACTCTAACATTCAATGTCTCTTGCAATTTAACAGGGCTCAATATTTGCAGTTTTTGATAGTGTTGAATCTGCTAAGAAGTTCACAGAGATACCAAATCAAAAGTACAAAGACACAGAGCTGATAGTACTTTTCAAGTAAGTCCTCTTAACTGATATATGAACTAATAATGGTAAAGGGTAGATTTAGGCAAGAGCCTGGCTTGACCTGAGAAGTGTAAGTTTCTAAACTGTTGTACAGGTATTGATAGCTGTACCTGTTGGAGACTAGCACCTCAACTCGGAAAAATCATTTCAACGGTTTCTTGTCTACTGCTGTCTTATAAAGTAATTATAACAGAATACCTTAAATTATATTAACTTAGCTTATATTCAATTGAAGGGAGGAGTACTGTACAAAGAAGAATGAAGAAAGGAAACAAAACAAAGTAGAAGCAAAAGCAAGAGCTAAGCAGTAAGTCATTATCAACTGAAGTGCCTGATTTTGCTTGCCTGACCACACCTGAACTGACTCATAACTAATTTAACTTTTCTGCAGGGAAAAAGAAGAGAAACAGAAACAAGCAGCAGATGCTGAAATGGTATGGGTTTCTTTTCTTAAATCTCTATACCTGGAAACTATGCAATGCTTGCTTTTGTATGTATTTTCAATCCATGCACAACATGGTCCTGTATCTACGTTTTGTAAAGCTAACATGGGATATTCTTTCTGAAATTCTATAACATAGAGCACTTTCTAGAAAATCACTTCAGCTTTTCCAACTAACCTACAGTAAGACTGTTTTGTCATGATGTTTGATCTTATTTTCAATAGATTTATTTTGTTTGAAGGCTCATGTCCTAAATTTAAATTATTAGGCTTGTTTACTGGTTCAGATGTGATCCTGAAAGCACCGTTGAGATGATTGTTCTCTTGTAGTATTTAAAGGATTAATTAAGAATTTAATCAGTATTATATTTTTTCTACCCAAGGTATCAGCCTTCAGAAAACTGTTTTGTAGAATTTAAAGAGTGTAACTCTCTTATGGAAAAGAAGTCCTAAGTTCCACATAAGTGTATCCTAGTAAGCAAAGAAAATTCAAAAAAGGAGGGGGGACACACTGTGCAAGACTTGGACATCAGTATAACTAAGTTATATAGCAAAAATGCTAGAGTTACTGTAACTTCAGTTGCTTATTTATCATCATATTTAATAGTCTTAGGATTGAGAGTTCAAGCTTGACTCTTCAATGAAAATGTAGGATCTTTTTTATTTCATTTAGAAGTCACTGGAAGAAAAGACAGGATGTCTTCTGAAGTTTTCTGGTGATCTAGATGACCAAACATGCAGAGAAGACCTCCATGCTGTATTTTCTGGTCATGGAGAAATCAAGTGGATACACTTTGTCAGAGGTGCAAAGGAGGTCAGTAGACTCTTAGACAAGGACTTAAGATCTCGGTCTTGAACTTCAAAGATGAATGATTAAATGTTTGTTTTCTTATGTAATCAAGTAAACTATTGTCTTGTGAAATTTCAGAATATTTACAGAATTAAATTATTTCCTTGAATTCTTTCAAAAGAACAGATAAAGTTTCCAGCCTTGTTAGTTGATAAGGCCAAACTGAGAATGTTTGTTAGGACAGCCTAAGGGCTTTGGTTTAGTCTAGACATGTTTTATGTCATGCAAGAGTAATGAATTTGCTGAGGTACTTAACAGGGTATGTTGTTCATCATTCTAGCTGAATGTTTTTGCAGTAAGACTCAAATGCAGATGCCACTCTTCTTTTTAAGGGAATTATCCTGTTTAAAGATATTGCCAAAGATGCTCTGGAAAAAGCCAAAACAGCACATAACGGAAACCTACAGCTTCGGAACAAGGATGTTGCATGGGAAGTGCTAGAAGGAGATGCAGAGAAAGAAGCTCTGAAAAAAATATTGGAAGATCAGCAAGAATTATTGAAACAGAAAACAAAAGGTCCTCCCTTCTTTTATGAATTTAAGCCTGTATAATGTCCTAGAATTGGCACTCCAAGTAGTGAATATATACTACAGACTGACTTAACTGTAAAGTATTCCTTTGAGCTTGCCCATTAAAAGAAAATAATACAAAGTTCCTGATCTTGTATCTCCACAGGGCGCAAAATTAAAGGAAAAGGAAGAGGAGGAAAAATACCTCAGGGTGCACAAAAAGGAAAAGTACAGTTTCAGGGCAAGAAAATTAAGTTTGATAATGAAGAAGAAGGTGGTGAAGATGATACTAAAACAGGTATGTCATTCTGTGCACTGGATGCAGCTTCTTTAGTACATAGAGCTACTTTCTAGAGAAGTACTCATGTTTCTTACAAGTGTTTCAGATTTGTCTCTGCACTGTAGTATTTCTGCCCTCGTGTCAGTATCAGTGCAGTAACTTTAAGAGTCTTGTGCTTGATTCCTTCCAGAACTGTCCAAAAAGCATACTTAGATAATTACTAGATAGGTAAGGCTTTACTGCAGGGCTGTACAAAGCATTCTGCATTGAAAGGTGGTGGTTATCAGCTACTTTACACAACTGTACAGACCCAGTCTCTTGAGTGGTGGGGTTTTTTTTCCCTTGAGGATATGAGAAGACTAATAGTTCTGCCTGCCAGTATTTAGCTTGGAGAAGATCAAGAGCTAAGCTTCTGTTCATTGTATATGGCACCTGCTTAACTGAAATCCAGTGAAACCTCCTGGTAGATTGTATTCCTTTATTTTCTTACCTGCCTTCCTGCTATTCCTGGGATTTTAGAACATCTAAAAGCTTTAAGTCACAGTAATGAGTAAACCCTCTAATGTAGAAGTGGCTGTAGATAACTAGGACTCATCCTTGAACTTACATGGTAGGGTTTGTTTTTTTCAGACTTGAGGTAATGCTTTCCTTTACCCTAAATGACCACATATTCAATCTTGCAGAACCAACAAGTCCCAAGAAGAGACCACTAGAGGAAACGGAAAAAGAAGAACCTGCACCAAAACAACTGAAAACAGAAAATGGAGGTGGCAATTAGTAATACTAAAATAAATAAAAATTTTAAAAAATTAGCGGTTTTATTGTTCCATTTTCAATAGGTTTTAAAGACATGCCTCAGTTCAGGAGTTTCTTGGCAGAAAATCTAATGAAATCCACTTCAACGTCAACCTACAAGTAGAGAAAAGCTTCATTTTGTTGGGTTACAGCTTTCTTTTGTTTAAGAAGCATGCTTACTCCTAACATGCAATCCTGGAAAACTTTTATATTTATAGTTTTGTTTATACTGTCAGATCCTCTCGATTTTTCTGGCATTTCATTCAAATGTAAAAGGTTTTGGACTTTGTAATCTTGTGTTTATGTTAAACAGCAGCTGGCAATAAATTCAGAACTTAAAACTGCTTACTACTAAAGTCTGGTTAATGTAGTATAACACTGTAACTCTCAAGTAGCAAAGATAAAGGACAGACTTCACTATTTTAAGTTCAAGTCACCAAGAGCATAGGTACAGCTGAATAAAGCTTCTAGTCTTTACTACTCAGCATACCTAACAGTCTTCAAATATTGCTCAGTCTCCTCTCTACTTCCTCTGTGGTAATGGAGGGGATACACATCTTCCAGGCCAGCATTCAGTATCCAGGAACGTGCCTCTGGGCTTAAGGCTTAACCTTCCATACTTGAGTGTCCTGACTAGATTTTTAATTGTTGGATGAAGTCCACTGCTTCCTTCTGCTGCCCCCAGGATAGCTGAGCGATTTCACTGGCTGTAGCTATTTGCAATACTGGCTCTAGAGAGCACAGAACACTGAAACAATGCTACAGCTGTACAGTTCTGGCCTTCAGCATTTAGTTCAGTCTAATTACTGGTTGCAGATAGGATCAAGCAAATGGCTATTAGGAGTGAACCAAGGAGGCTACCCTTAGCTTATCACCTCTAGTTGCAGTGTTGGCTTTAATCTTTGTGTATAGCTTTGACTGGCATTATAACGATGCCTTTCATTGTTCAGCTACAAAATGTAATAACAGTAATGGAACCTGATGCTCTCAGAGTGAAGTCTCAACTGCTGTGAGCATTTCTCATCCAGTACATATGGCCCTAACACTTGAATTTTCATAAGGAGAATTTATTTACCGCAGCATTTGCTCATGTTAGGTTTTATACTTACTGATTTCTTCTTATGGAACTTGTATGATGCTGGTAGGTCAAATCTAAGTTCTGTGAACAGTACAAAGAATACTTGTTAGACTAGTATGATTATTGGTCACTTAAACCCTACATCCATATACTTCTGTTTCCAATGCCCACCTCTGTTGTGGCCTGTTGTGATCAGTTTGGATATCTGGACCAGATGATGACTGAACATTTAAGCTGTCCAGATCAGGCAGCTAAAGTGGATGGCTGAAATGCAGTTGTGTAGTTGTACTTCTGCAACTTCATGTCTTAAGTTCCATGACTGCGTAAAGCCTCCAGCTAGTGGTATTTAAGAATAAGGAAGATATTTACACAACTGCCAAAAATATTTAGGTGACTAAGGACAGGATGCTTTTTTGTGTGAGAACTGACCTGTGCTTTGCTTTTGTTTTTTGGCAACTGTCTCCTTTTGAAGCAGGAAGGGAGGTAACCTATCCCAAAGACAAAATCTAGTCCAGGAAGAAGCCTATTTCTGCACAGAGTATGTATTCCTCAAAGCTTTATTAAGTGCCTGCTTGTATTCTACCCAGGTAGCAAGATACGAAAAAACAAAAAGTCTGCTTAAAAAAAAAAAAGACCTGTGTCATTTCAGTGTTAAATCACAAGTAAATTTACCTCAGGCTGTTATGACTGGCTAGTAGTGTTATAGGTATTTCCCACAAACAAAAGGTTGGGGTGTTTTTTTCCGCTAACAACAAACTAATATTACCTGCTATGACTTCCATCTTCACTTCCCATTCATCTGCTTTCTTTTGAATGTGCTGGAATATTAAATAGATATAGGTAAATTTGAAGCTACAGACATCATCATTAAATGCCAGCTATCTTGTTGTCTTCTTCTCTGGTTAATGCTTGCCGTACTAAAATGAAGGACTTACCTGCCGTGTTGAAGTTTTGTGAAGGGAATATACAGCTGTTTTTGCCATTTGCAGAGCAGTTTTCAGAAAAATCATATCAATTCCTAAAAGAATGATGGAATTATTAGTGCTGTTAAATGGAAGCTTAAATATTTGCTTCATTTTTTTCTGGAATAATATCTATTTGAGAAACAGCACTGAATACATTAGGGTACAGAAAGAATTTCTAAATCTTTCCCAATTGCTTTTGATAAAAATGCTAGGGATATGAAATAGCTAGTATTGTTTATTTCAAATCCAGTGATTTGAAATGTTGAATGTAGCTACAATGTTGAAATTGTTAATCTGTACTTAGGAAGCTGATTCCTGATCAACAAAATGCTAGGTAACTAGAATAGCTAGCTAACAAAGGGAGATGTTTCATTAAAAGCATTTCCCTTGCTATTTTGTTTGTAATAATTTCTAACTGATTCTCAGAATTACCAACCTTTATTATGCTTGGTACCAAACGGAGGGTTCATAATAACTGTGTCAAAAGCATCTGCCATGCTACCAGATAAAGAACAGATGTCACACTGAACCATGTTGACGTTCGTGAGCTCAAAGTCCTCAATATTGCTATTAAATATTTCCAGTGCATCTGCATCTATGTCAAATCCCACACAGAATCTATTAAAAAAAAAGTGTCACATATTAGTCTCCTACAAATTAAAGCTTTGAAAGGGATTCTTGTACACAACTTGTTTTATCTAGGAAATGTAACAAGCATACATTATAAATTCAGTGCTGATAAAAATTCAAATAGTTCTGTTGCCATTTCTCAAATATAACTCTAATTTTGTTAAGGAAGTTTCATGGGTTTATTTAGTGCTTCAAGGGAAAGCAAATATTAAGTATTCAGAATTCATGACAACTGTCCACTGCTTTCACAGTAGGAATGGTTATTGACACTCAGAACTTATTTAATAGCCTGATTATGCACCAGATTATATACTTAAAATGAGTGTAGTTCAGCATTGCTATGTTTTAATCTTACTTTCTACTGTTCTATGCCAGAAAAAAACATAACCAGAACATAGCATTAAATACTTACCCTGCTCCTAACATTGCACTTCCAATGCTGAGCATGCCACAACCACATCCTAAATCTGCAATTGTTTTGTTTTCAATATCATCAAAAGTATTGTGAATTGTATAAAGCATACATGCTGGGGAAAAAATCCAAACAACAAAGATCAATAATATCAAATATACACCTGTTTAATCAAGGAAAGCTACACCTGCCTTCAGAAAACACTTAACTAAAGGTTTCTTGTAATGCAAAATTAAGCTGATATTCTCACTGCCTGTAATTCTCTTTTTCATTTATATGTGAAGAGTCAAAAACATTCTGATGAGTTGTAGAACTCTGGGTCTTTGCTGGAGAGATTACACATAGAGCTTTGAGTACTGTTTGTGGAAAAAGTATGCCTCTATATTTGTTTGAGAAAAAACAATAGAAGGATGTAAAATATTGAAAAAATCACAATTAAGGTATGAAGGAGTGTCTCTATATACACTTTTATTGGTTTTATGTGTCATGAAATAAGTCCAAGTCAGCTTTCGCAATTACAGATTAAGATGCTTCTATCACATTATCTTTTAAATCAGTTTATTTGATTTTTGGCTTGTACACCAATATACTTCTAAATAATTACATTCCTGTTGGATACAATTTCTTAACTACTTTTAATGTAAGGTCTTCAAAGGAGATAATGCAGTAGAAAAAACCTTTTTAATTAAAAGTGCTGATGAACTAGCAAAAGAGACAACAGTGCTGTGGGTCACCTCTACCTGCGATATGAGGTCTTGTTGGATACTGTTCAAGGAGTAGTTTTGGACTGTCAAAAGTATCGACTTCTTGAAGACAGCTTTCCAGTTCTTTCAGCTTTAATTTCTTCATGTTTATGGTTTAGCTAGAGGAAATAGCGTATAATCAGTTACAATAATATAAATAAACTACATATTATCTTACATTATTTTATACTTAATATCCCCCAGTATTCCGCAGCATCTCCCGGTTGTTTCCATGAAGCTGTTCCCGGGATGCAGCTGGCGGCGCACCGATGACGG